TCTGAAATTTGTAGGGCGGAACTAGCGCTTTGACAGACTGTCCCTAAATTTTGCTGCAGGGTTCTTTTAGAAACATATCTGGAATGGCGCTAAGGCTGACGGTATGTGTGGGCGACGTCGGCGTTTTAGCTTCGCGCTCAGCCATTGCGGCAGGTGTTTGTTGTGCACACATGCGCTCATGTCGCCCATAACGTTTACCGATTTTCGCTATATATATTTATTAAAATCTGTATAAGTGATTTCAGGCAAACGTGGCGTAGGTGGTATATAAGTTTTTTTCAACGAAAGCACCACCCCACTTTTTGGTGAAAAGATTGCTTTGCTTGCCACGTGATGGATCGTTGAGTACTGCTGGCAAATTTTGGGCTGCTGAAAAGACGGACCACTCAGGTGGAGGTCAGTAGGCTTATGTATTTTTATCTGAAAAGGAAAATTTATATTAATTAGGCTATCTGCACACTTGTCGTCCAATCATAGTTGCGTTATCGTCTCGCCCTGAAATTTTGAGCCGAGCACATGCATTTCAAAGGAGATCTGCACACTTGTCGTTATCGGCTAGTTATCGGCAAATCGTAGAAGATGCAGAAACGGATAAGTACGGCACTGTCGTTTGCTAATCGTTGTGCACGCATTGTTTGTTTACATTTTATGGGGGAAAATTAGTGAAAAAGTTAATATTTGCATTAAAATTGTATAAAAATTAGTATTTTTTTGCATAAAATCTGTGGAAATTATTAAAAAGTGGATAATTGCATTAAAATTTAATAAATATGAGCGTTTTAACTATAAAATATGACGAAATTGTATTAAGTCTCTGTGTGCATACACAAAACACATTCCAGGAAAAGAAAAGAAGAGATATTACTGGAAAATTACGTCTAGAAATGTTGCAGCACAGTCTATATTTAAAAAATTGCAGGTTTTTGTAAATATTTCGCGAAAATATCAACCAAAAAAAACAGAAAATACCTGCTCCAAGTGAATTTTTAGACGCCAAATGAATTGAAATATCACGACCAAGTGTGCAGAAGTGTAATCGTCATGTAATCGTTGCTTCATGACGATAACTATGACTCAACTATGATTGGACGGCCAATGAGCAGAAAGCCTTAGAATTCTTATTAACTAAACTTTTACATCTTCTTACCTGTTTGCTTGCGTAAAACCTCGTGCATTAATGAACCTTCCAATGGTGAGAATGAATTCTTTTCATTGACATATGTGTATACCAAGGTTCGGACTCCTAAAAGTGTCCAGGAGAAATCACTAAAAAATCGGAGTAAAACCAACTTTTGTAGTAGTAGATTTTCATGCTTTATCCTCTTTTACGCATTCATGATAACATAAAATTGGATTTTATTCACAAGAGGATTTAGTAACAATATTTTACTTAAACCGAAAACAGCTCATTGAAATTTTGTTTCAGTTTGTACATGAAGTCAGAACAGCAAACCTGTTCATTTCATGTTGTATTGACTAACTTCATTAAAATCCTCCTCATCCGAACTTAGTTTTTAACTGACTTCCAAAAAAAGGAGAAGTTATCAGTTCGTCGGAAGATTTTTTTATTTTTATTTGTATTTTTTTTTAGTTTACCGCATAACTTTGGACCACGTCAGCCGATTTCGATAACTCTTTTCGCATCGGAAAGGTAGTGTCTCAGAGGTGGTCCCATACTAATAGATTAGATCCGATCATTGGATCATGAAATATATAGATATATCTATTTTTTTATATGAGAATTGAAGTCGGCTTTGTTTTTTGCTAAAAAAAAAGGGAATAAAGTGACTAGATTCACATACCTTTTTTCAACTGTTACTGGTCCCATTTCACAACGGAGTGGAGTCTGAGTACTGGTTTAAACGTTCACATATACATACGTTCCACATCGGAAAAAACAGCTGTTGGTTATACCATCGCACCATTTCGTCATTCATTGTTCAATCAGCTTGCTAGCATAAAATAATACTCACCCACAAAACAAAACCTAAGGAAAACCTCAGAGGCAAATGTGATATTTTATTGTAACATTGCACATGCCAGCTTCAATTCATAAATTGTGCTGCATCCGTGCTACCCTGCATGTGAGGCCGGATATCACATGCAGTGACACTAAAACTGTATCTTTTCTTGTCAGCAGGAAAGTTGCAGGGTGTCGAGAAGAACCAAACTACAATCGTCGAATAATATTTACACAGTTTCAACCAATCAATTTAATTATTATTTGATTAATATCAGTAAACTGAGTAGATTATTCATATTTATGATAATTTTCTGTTTTGGATTATAAATAAAACTTACCTCTGCCCGTGCATGCCTGCACCTTGGAATGTATGGCAATTGGGCGATCCACTTTTCATTTTTTGTGGGTCTCAAGTGGGCATTATACATAATCTACACGAGTCAGTTTATGCAGTATGAATGATAAACCCCATTTACACAAACCAACCTGTTCCTATGCATCTGCGAAATAGTTATGCCTTAACTTAATTAGCCAATGTCGATACACTCGCCACCCAACAACACATTTTAAGCATAAATCTCGAACCAACGTAAATTAACGACACAATTTCAGAGGGAACGATGTCGCAATTTGCCGCAATGAGGAAAAGGGCCGAACAGCGCGCCCATCGCTATCCGCAACCATGTCGCCTATGCGACGCAAATCATCCGATCAGGCTTTGCCCTTTGTAGCGTGCGAAGTCGCCAGAAGAAAGATTGCGTGAGGCCTTACTAGGACGCTACTGCGCTAATTGCCCCGCGATGAATCACGAATTAAAAGACTGCGTGAGCGAAGGCAGATGTAAACGATGTGGCGAAAAGCACCACTCGACACTACATTTCGAGGATGAACCCAGCACATCGAAAAAGTCATGGGCCCAACAGGTGGAGGAGGAAGAAGAAAATTCCGATGGTGTGATCTCGCTACTTTCGTCCGGTTCTGGAACGGAAACGCGGCCTTTCCGTCCAGATACCGAAGAAGGTGCACTTTCAGGCGATGTAGCGGAGACTCGGCCTCTCCGCGCATTCGCAGAAAGGGGATCGGAAACTAGGCCTTTCCGCCTGCGTAATCCCAAACGCAAGTCCTCTCGACGCACACAAAAGGAAGATAGACTGGCGACTCGGCCTCACCAGCTGTCGAAACGACGTGCGTCCCGAAACGGAATCTTGGGTCACCATGCCATAGCTGCGCTATCACTCCGACTGCAGTCGTTAAAGTAGAGTCTGGCGGGCGTCTACATTTGATCCGCGCCCTAATCGAACTATAATAGCACTTGACTTAGCCCGAGAGTTGCAGCTGAATGAGACGCGCGTTGGCGGAGAAAGAGGCTGTCTGGTATGCTTACGAGGAAAATATGGGCAAAACAAACGGGTAGCGACTCACGCTATTGCGCTACCCAATTTTAGCAGGATAAGCCCATCTAGCAGCGCCGACGCCTCGGTGACTGAACCGTACGCGCATATACGCTTGGCAGACCCTCACTTTTATGCGTCCGCACCGATACGCTTGAACCTGGGAACCGACGTTTACGCAGATATCTTATTGCCTGGCACACTTCCCACAACATTTGGACCACTGCTCGCCCAAATCACCATATTTGGGTGGGTGTTGTCCGGGGTCTTTAGAGCGTAATTTTCTTCTTTTTACATACATACATTATATATACACGAATTATCATACCAAAAAAAAAAAATAATAATAATAATGAATTTAAATAAAGTGCACTTGAAAAAGTAACCACGTACATTTTCCTAATTACCACTTCTATTTACATCTGCAGTAGCACTCCATAGAGGAAGGACGAGCTCTACCTCAATGAAGGCCGACGCTGCTGCACGATTTTCTCATTAATATCAAGACTTGGAACACATTTGTTTATAAGAACTATGTGCGCTTAGTAGCTGAAACGCGGCCGATATTTAGAGGTTGCTTACCGCAAGGGGGCCGGGATGTTTAGGCCTTAAGCCTAAATATTTCCAAAAGCGAATGCACCACCCTTATGTGTCATTCACATATGTGCACATTTATGCATGCATACTTGTACACATGTATATATATTATATATTCGCGACGTTAGTTTAAGTTTCCCGCCGGATAAAGTATCTTTCGTTGAATTTCCCCTCAACGTCTTTTCTTTGTCCGGCGGTTCGAACGAAAATCACGGCTTTAGATTTTTCACTTTTTCATCGGGAGACCAAGGAGAAAGAACTGCAGCTACCAGGCCACATTAGTTTCAGGTAAAACCATTGTAAACCAACACATATACATCAATTCGAAATACTTGTTCAATTAATAAAACCATTAAACTAAAACGAGTTTTATTTGTCTTTTTTTCCTCATTTTTCAAACCTCATTGTGACCACTTTGCGCACCACACTTGAGCCGCACTGCGTCACATTGATGTTTTTAATATGTAGCTCGCGTTTCGTCCGATCGCAGCGTGGCCCTGTAGGCGGCATCTTTTTCCTCTTCAGCTTCTTTAAACTCCTCACCTTACCAGTTGTTCTTTCGGGCTCGCGGAATTTCGACAACTTCTTCGACAGCGGTACTTAATGAGCGAGAAAATGGGGTTCCACTGCTCGCGTATATCGCTTTGTCGAAGAGTGCTCTCTGAGAGCAGACGTGCGAGTCGAGTGGCGAATGCATTGGCCGTCGACTGTGATTGTAGCTTTTCGACGTTGAGCTTTCCTTTCATTGTTGGGCGCGCATTTTTTTGCTGCACAGAGGACCGAGTCGTGGCTTAGCTCTCGAAGTGTACGTACGTCTAAACCACTGGGAGCCTTTCGTCTATCACTACATGATCGAGACAGCCAAGTAACTTGATGGATCTTTTTGTAATTGAACCTAGTACTGCATACCACCATATTTCAAGCATCGTTTGCCGGGGCGAACTAGAATACTCAGCGATGGAGCCTATCTCCCACCGAAATTCAAAAACCGAATTTGTACTCCTTTCCAGCGTTGCCATTTTAGCCGTTTTCCGGCTAGATTTAGCCGGTTTTGATAGCAACTAGCCGGAGAAAATTTGATCTAGCCGGCAGCCGATTTGTTAGCCGGTTTGTAAAAAAAAGTTAGCCGTTTTTAGCCGATTTTACTATTTGCCTAATTTTCAGGTGCAAAAAGTAAACAAGTTTTTCGAAAGCAATAATGCAGACCCAATGAAGATTTTTAATGAACTCAATGTTTTACTTTCGCATCTATGCTGCCTAGTGGTTATTAGCGCGGACACATTTGATCCTATATGCTCCCCGTTGGAACCATACCTTGCTCCATTTCCTCAGTTTTATCACAGTTTTGAAGAGTATTTAAAAACAAAAGTAAGCACAAACGCTTTTGACCACGAAGCCGAGAAAATAATTCGAGAAAATGGTCGCTATTTTATTATCACTTTAATAAAGGAATTACGCCAACGCCTCCCTACAAATATTGCCAAACTAAAAAAAATGACTTTTTTCGGTTGGAAATGCATTAAGAGTAATTAAACCAAAAGTATTTGTTCAACTACAGCAACAAAAACACAAATATAATGCCGACAAAAAAACATCCATAGAGATGCAATGGCAACGGTTAACGTTACATACCTGGAGTAATTTAGACTCAACTGTAAAATTTTGGGCCGAAGTTTATCAATTTCGAAATGCCCTAGGAGAAAACCCTTTTGCTGACCTTTGCAACCTAGTTTTCTTGTTTTCCCTATAAGTAATGCAGAAGTAGAGCGAATATTTAGTTCAATGAATATAATAAAAACTAAGCAAAGAAATCCAATGTGCGTTAAAACGTTAAACGCTATTTTATATATAAGATACGGTTTAAAACGTGAAGAAAAATGCTGCCATAATTTTACTGTAGATGACGATCTCTTAAAATTAATGAATTCAGGTGATATATACAATAGTGATTCATTTGATGATGAGGAATGTACACTCGATATAAATTAATGGTGTTAACTAGTCTTTCGTTTCTTGCGATTTATTTAAATAAAGCATGTGGATTTTCACTAAAACATTTTAGCCGTTTTTTGCCAGAGTCTATGTGAAATTTCACTAAAACATTTTAGCCGTTTTTAGCCGCTTTTTTTTGCCAATCTAGCCGGTCGGCCCAAAAAGTTCTGGCAACACTGCTCCTTTCCAAGTCAACTGTATAGTAGACGGAACAAAAGCGCCCTTACTACTTGCTTTGTCCCGTCTGGCGTTTTTCTCGGATGACGGTGGCATCAGCCCTAGTCTTCTAGACAGAATAAATCAGCGAACTAATGAACAGTTCGTTCATTTTAAAATCGTCTGATTCAACCGTTTAGCTGTTCTATTTAATGTTGGCCGGATTTACCGATAAACCCCGACAAATTAAAAGAAAATATTTGGCACTCAGAATGGTTTGGCTTGTCTTCGCTTACAATTCGTGGTGGGTTGTTTCGGAAGTTTGAAATTGCCTGCTGAAAGGCGCAGCGCAGCCTAGTACTATACTCGTGGACCGGCAACCGATTCCTCCACGAGCTGGAACGAGCATATCTGAATCAGCATTTTGAGTTTACAGCGCCACATACTTGCTACTCATCGGGTGTATATTTTTTATGAACAGGTGGTACAGTTATCAAGGCTCTGACAAGAATCTGAGACACCTTTCCATCCCAACTACACAATAAGCATAAAAGAAAACTCTTCCATTGAACTAATACTTAGTAGCTCTACACGGTCTAAGGATAAGCACCGAAAATTCAAAAAATACACACGTCCATACTACGACTTTAGACGATGTCTCTGGGTAAGTCATAACTGAATTAAACAAAATAATGTTTGGAAGGTGTAGCAGTAGTAGATCTTGGATAATCGTGAATTCTGAAGTTTACTTTAATCAAAGATAAAGTTTGTACTTTAAACTAGAAAAATAAAAGCTTAAAAACTGTAATTATCAAAAGTAAAGAACATCGATGTTTACTTTACCTAATCGATAGATCTGTCAGCAAAGCTTTTCTAATTACAATTCCAATCGCCTATTGGTTAAAGAATCATTGAATTACACCTTATTAACTAAATATCGGCGACCATCGTTTGCATATATGCAAACCCTTTAACTTTCGTTAAAGATGATAATTTCTTTTCGTTTTATGCTATTCCCCACCCACGTACCAACCTATGAGAGCATAACTTAAGTGAATGTGTGCACAAAATTTGTCTAAAAGTTACGCCACTTAATCAGCCACATTTCAACAACTTAATTACTCATTTGACACCCCTCAAGCGCTAATTCGGATAGTTGCTGAAATAAGGGAGTCAAATTTTGTTTACGGAAAGTAGTAAGTATGCAAAAAAAAACCAATTAAGTTTGCGCCAGGAATGTAGATGTCCAGCCAACCGTTACAAGGTTACTGTCAAGAAAATTAGCATAACTATCAATTGGTGGGGTGAATTTATTTCGACAAGTGTCAAGAATACTATTTGCAAGTTAAACTAATGAAATTCGTAATGTGCTTTCGTTGCTGCAGTCGCAGGGTTGTACTTAGCTGAAATGGTGCAAAGAAAACGAGCAGTGGGTTATATTTTATTGACAATTTCCGTTAGTATATAAGTTAGCTTGGCGATAAATTGTAGTAAAAACAGTGGGTCCTAAGCAAAAAGTTTTGTTATTGTTATTTTTAACGAGAGAACTTTCTTCCCTACCTTGATAAAGCTTCGCCGATAACTTTTATAACTACTGAGTATTTTCTTAAATGCTTGGACTAGCGCC